GTTTATCGCATTTGTTGGATACAAGGAGTGGTGTTCGTCGCATTTGTGTGATGCGAGGAAAATGTTTATCGCATCCTTGAGATGCGACAAGTTTTGGTTATCGCATCTTAATGGTGCGAGAAAATATGTTATCACTTTTGAATGATGCGATAAATTGATATATTTTGAGTTTGATGCAACAAGTTGGTCATTGTGTTATTTGATGCGATAAAAAGCGGTTGTCTCATATCTACGATGCGATAAAAGAGGTTTGATACAATAAAACATTGTTTACATGTTATCAATTCAAATGTTGGTTTTCCAAAAATGTTTTGGTGATTTTCACCTTGTAATAGCAATCAACAGAATTACTCACTAAATCTTATGGTCTAACCCTCGTTTTGTTTTCAAAAATATGTATTACATGTATGATGCATGTGGAAGGTAAAGGGAAGGGAAAATGCAAAGAAAATTGTTAATTCTTTACATCTGTGGATTATTGAGAAGCTAAATATGTACATGATTTGTGAATTTGGGTTATTCAAGTCATGTAATTATATAAACAAAAAGTTTATAACTACTTTTTATGTAGCCATTTGTGTATATTTGGGACCAATGTGTATATTTGTATTTCTTATTGTATAAAATATATGCTTTTATGCAAATGGGAGTAGGGGTATTACATATTCGGTCAAATGACTCTTCACAAAAGTATTTTTCCTAACCAAAGCGTCTTAAAAAACTTGTTAAGATGCCTAAAAGTGTCCTATAAATTTATTGTAACACTCTTATTAATACACATCACCCTCAAAATTTTATATATATAAAAGATAAAAACATTATAATAATTTATTTTGTAAAAAAAGGGTTGGCCAAAACAAAACTCTATAACTTGCCACAAACATTCTTTTAACTTTGAAAGATATCCATACTCCTTTCATTTATTTTTACCTTCATCTTTTAAGTTATCATCTACACCTTGATGTGGGATAACCAAACCAACACCACACTTAATGTATTTAAGATACTAAAATCTCATGGTGCGACATCATCGATCCTGCATCCCCAGTGTTCAAAAAATATGGCACAAGACGCATATTCGCTGTTACAAAATGGCCCATAGCGTTTCTGTAAGGCGTGGCTCACACCATGACGTCTTGAGGCGTTTCTTAAAGGTGTTTTTGTAAGGCGTGGCTCATGAAATGGTCCATAGCATTACGAATGATGCACACATACTATTTAGTTATAGATCCATGCCTTACAGAAACGATTCTTACAGTAACCTGCAACGATTCTGGACTTCATAGATAGAGAAGCACCTGTCAAATATGACCTCCTCCAACGTCTCATCCTGTTGTTCCACCTACAGTTTTTTTCTTTCATATAAACAATTAAATAAAAATGGTTGCCTACATCTTGGAATCTGGAACAACCACAATGTTGAAGACACCAAGATTTTACCAATATCTAGGGTTGTTCATCAGTTGACATCCGATGGATGTTATGGGAACAAAATCGATCCAATCCAATTAACATTGGATAACCGATCTAATCCAATCCAATAGATGATTGGATCGGTTTGGTTCCATCCATTGGAGATTCTTATTGGATATCCGTTGGATCGGATTAGATCCAACCAATATCAATCGGATTGGATCGGACTAGATCCATCCGACATCCAATAGACAATCTGATCGGATCCATCTAATGTTTTAAATCCGATTACAATAACTGATATAATATTCCAAAATACTTAATTTCATCCATTCAATCACTAAAAACATACAATTACCATTGCCAAGTCTCACGCATACATATTGGGAAGTGGAAAGTAGAAACATTAAGCTACTAAAAACTAAATAATAGAAATAGTGTCAGCAACCTTAAGACTTCAAGTCCACGACAATTCAATCCTTGGCTTTTGAGTTCCTTGGGTGTCATCGGTAGGCATGGTGGACGGTGATGTTGCACTTTAATCAACATTAACGGGTACATTTTCTTTGTTGTGTGCAAGCTCAATGCCAGGATCATCTTCATCGATGAGAGATATAGGTTTAATGATGTTAGCAATTGAAACCATATGTCAAGTAACCATTTGCTTCATTATTATATACTTTAAACTTATAATTTATAACCGACCGATTAAACTCCAATTAAAGTTAACACAAAAAAGGAGCTATTACATATTACTATTGAAGAACTTACAGAAAAGGTAAAACTAGGAGCTATTACTAATTGTTTCATGCACGCAAAGTTAGGTGTCAATGAGATTCTTTGTGTTTGTCCTCATCTATTGATTTATTCGATCCAATGGAGAATTGTTAGGATTTTACCAAGGGAATTAATCCCATATAGGAAGGAAAGGGAAAATTGGAGAGGCTTATAAGGCTAATTCCATAAGCCTTTTCAAAATTGGACCAAGACCCATGGATCAAGCTTGGTGCTTTGTATATACATTAATGGTCAAAGATAGGGCCTTGGGCCTTGGGTTGATTCGAAGTATGTTATCTTACTCTACATGATACATATTTGCTATATGAACATATATACATATACACGTTTTTAGTCATTTTAGTGTACGTAAACATTCACACTAGTTTATGATAAATCTGGTATGATGCCGAGTTGAACAGACAAATAACAACACAATGTGTCATTCAAGTCGGGTTGTCTTTCAGACATTTCGACAACCCTCCCGTTACGAAGTTGATTCAAAAGACGATACAAACACGATACAAGCCGGTAAATTGTCAAACCCTTAGACGTGATACAATAAAAATGTGGAAAATGTGTCGGGCCGAAATGCAACAAATGTTATCCACTTTGCCTAACAATATTTCTTTAACATGTGATATATGGAGCGCACCATACGGATTGCTGGTTTTGTATATATGTATAACGGCACATTGGGTTGAGCCTACAACATGACATTTATCAAACGTGTAATCGCGTTTGAACCGTTTGATGCGCCATATTCGGGAGCACGGTCAATTTTCAATTATTAAAAAAGTCTTGCATTTTATAATTTAACCACTAAAATAATTAGTATTTCATTTGATAATGCTAGTAATAACAATTATTGTGTGGAAAAATTAAAGTGTCATTTGACACCTATATTAGACGGTAAATTATTTCATACACGTTGTTGTGCACACATAATAAATTTAGCCGTTCAAGACAGTTTAAATACTTGTAAACCCGTAATAGATAAGTTTAGACTTATGTTGCGGCGAATTTTCACAAAAGGTAAAAAATGAATGCGGAATATAAAAAATATTGTGATGACGTTGGTTTTAGAGCTTTGGGACCGAGGTTCGATATGTCCGTTCGTTGGAAAATCGACTTATTTTATGATTGAACTTTGTTAAAACAAAAAATTATTATTTTTTTGCTTTTTATAGACACTATTACCCGCAAAATTTTATTGGAAATCTTGATTGGGCCGTGCTTGAAGGATTGCACGATATTTTAGGCGATTTTAAAAATGCGACAACACTTCTATCCAGAATTTATTATCCAACAAGCCCTTTAGTTTTAAACCAAATATTTATTTTGGCAAGTAAAATTGCCCAATACGAAGACCATCACGATTGGGAAGGTTGATGTCTTACATGAAAAAGAAATTGTTAAAATATTTTATGGGCATCCCATTTGTTTTTTTTTTGTGTTGCGGCGTTAAACCCGTATTTAAATATTGTCGGTGTTGGAGTTTTAATTACACAAATTTGTGTGGCTTTTGGTTTGGATACGGATAATTTTTTTCAATGGAACAAAAACGTTTGGTTAATCATAAATTTCAAGATTTATTTGATCATTACAAACATTTTTACGGATGAGAAAACCAACCACAAACACCTTCAAGTCGTGGGTTTGCGGGTTCTAGTTCTTCTTCTAGTGGTCATCGACAAAGTCATGAAGAGTTGATGACTAATTTAATGAACGATGTTTTAAATGAATCAAGTAAAAAAAGTCGATATGATAACGATTTGGGTGAACTAAATATGTATGTGCATACTAACTTTATGGCTGCATGTCCCGCAAATGATGTCGAAGATTTTGAAAAAATTGATTTATTAGATTTTTGGAAACAAAAACAACCTCAATTCTCGTTTTTGACGTGCATCGCACGTGATGTACTAACAATCCAAGCTAGTACTGTAGCTTCGGAGTCTGCTTTTTCTCTTAGTGGCAGGATTATTTCGATACGTCGAACAATACTAAGCCCGGAGTTCGTGGAGTGTTACATCTGCTTGAAGGATTATTTGGATAACATTGATAGGATTCAACATACGACATAGTTAGAGATGGAGATTGAAGTGGTGGAAGAAAATCTGGAAGAAAATGAAATCTCCATGGGACTAAGCACGCCGCCAACTACCGATATCGATAGCACTTACTCACAATATGATGATGATGATGAACTCGACATTGATCATCTTGATGACCAAGAGGCTATTAGAAGAATTCAAGAGACCGGAACTCTTCAAGTCAATCCGACATGAAATACCGATAAAGATTGATGAATAAATGTACTTTCAAATAATTTTATTATAAATTTTTGTAAAACAATGTAATTTTTATCATAACAAAACGTATTTTTAAAGTGTATTTAAGTGACTCATATTTTTAAATGTATATATACATATATATATATATATATATATATATATAACAAAACGTATTTTTAAACTTATTTATAATAAAATGTATTTTTAAACGTATTTATAACAAAACAAATTTAATAACATATTAAAAATATATTAATAACATAAAATTAAAAAAAAAAGAGTTTTTTTTAATGGGCCCGGTCTAGAACCGGCTTGGCATAACCAGTTATAGGGATTTTCATTGAAACCGGGAGTGGTTATAGGAGGATCGGTTATGGCCGGTTCAGGATATCAGGCCTGGTAAGAACTGGCCCTGGACCGGTTTTGTCCATCACTACCGCAAAAGATATAAACGGACCCGACCCAATTGGAGCATCTTTCAACCCACCCTAATCGGCATCATACATAACCTCATTCTAGCAGCAAGGAAAGAGACAAGTTGGGAAGGGACACCATGCGTTTCACAGACTCGCCGGTGATCGACCTCACCGTCAACGGCGCAAAGCTCTCATTTCATCAAGATAATGGTTCAATGCACGTCGGAACCACCGTCTGGCCTTGTTCCCTTGTTCTCGTCAAATTCGCTGAGCGTTGGCTCACTTCCGCTTCCACTACTGACAACCCTTATGCAACCCTTCTCGACTTCCACAACAAACGCGCCGTTGAACTCGGTACCGGCTGCGGTGTCGCCGCCATGGGGTTTTACCTTCTCGGCCTGAAAGAGGTCGTTCTGACCGACATCGCGCCCGTCATGCCGGCACTCAAGCACAATTTGAAACGCAACAAGCCTGTGTTAGGTAAGATGTTGAAAACGGCGCAACTGCATTGGACGAATTCGGACCAAATTAAAGCCCTAAAACCTCCGTTTGACATTGTAATCGCTGCTGATGTGGTGTACATAGAGGAATCGGTGGGGCCGCTACTCGCCGCGATGGAGGCGATGGTTAGTGATACAGGGGTGGTATTTTTAGGGTATCAGGTGAGGTCGCCTGAAGCTCATTTATTGTTCTGGGAGCAATGTAATCGGATCTTTGATGTTGAAAAGGTGCCGCATGAACATCTTCACCCGGAGTATGCATATGAAGAGAGTGACGTGTATGTCCTGCGAAAGAAGTTGTAAAAACCTGATATTAAGGTGAGTTGTAGCTTATGTTCTCAACATATGGCATTTAAATTGGAAGTTTATTTATGTTAAATACCATTCGACCAGAAGTGATTCTCAACTTATGGCACTTGAGTTATAAATTTGTTTCAGTTCTGCATTGGTGATCATGTTAATTAGCATCCTCCACTCTCGCATACATATATTCCTACTTATTGCTCGTAGTTACTTGTTGTGCATTCTTGCACACCCCTTACATTTCCTTAACTACCATTGTGAGAAAGTATAATCCACTGTACACATATCCTTTTCAGTTGCCCTAAATCAGAAAGAAATCTCAAGGGCAATCCATATTTTTTTCCTTCATGCTAGAATTTTATTGGAATTATGTCTGTGTTATACTCTGTTTCTTAAAATCAGAATATGTTTATTTTCACGAATCAGTTTGCGGACTCACGCATAAAGGGTAAGAACGAAACGGCTAGTGATTTGTAGGGTGAGGGTGAATCTTGTAGCATTGATGTTACTTCTTACGTTTTATTCTGACATAATGAGCTCTTCTCATATTTTGAGTCATACTCTGTTTGCATACTAGGTGTCTTCTTCTTTGCCACTTCTCCAAATCTATATATATAAAACAAGGGTCAAAACTACATTTGCCAATTCAATATTTTTGTTGTTTTCTTTCTCTTGTGGGTCTTTTTGATACATGAGTTAGTTGTCCCATAGGGTCTTTGTTGTTCCTCTTTTTTGAACTTCTTGCTCACTGTACACTCTTAGTCTGAGTTGGAACCCTTTTTTTATGAATAAATCAGTTGAGATGTGCTAGTCAATTTGGTGATCCTTGTACATGTAATCATCTTGGAATGTCACCTGTCTTTGATGGATGGCTGCTATTTTCGTAAGACCTACTCCTCGCCACCCTAGCAAATGAAAAACTTTTGGACTTGGCTTCGGCTTCTTTTTGTCCTGTTCTTTGTTTGAGCAAGTTGTATGAAAATGCAATGTACTTTGCTCCGATTTCTATTCTCTTTAAGGTACTTCTAAAACCTTCATTTTTTATTTTGGATTCTCAAAGGTGGCATCTCAAAAATTTAGGTTCCTGTTTTACATATGAAAATGCAAGGTACTTTGGACCGATATCTCTTTCTTGTAATGTACTTTGGCCTAACTGTTTGAGATATCACATCTGAGGTACAAATAATGAAATTTTTTGGAAGTATGTTGCACAAAATAGGAATCGGAACACCTATAAGAAGTAATAGCCAACCTTGACTGTTTACCATGGCTTTGCATCTACAAGGCCACACTCACACCTCTGAGATGTGCTGCCGTATCTATGTATTCTAGCAACCCACAGTGGTATCAGTACCAGTAGTCATATGCATAATCTGATGCACTTTATTTGCTTCAAATTGATTCATTCATCCTTTCAGGAGCATACTTTTTGCGGATAAGTTTCTAACTCCATGATGTTTACTAGCTTTGATTGTCAGATTTCAGGGTTACGATTTTGGTGTCTTTCTTGACTATTTTATTTGATACCTTCAACATCCTTAGAATTTGTGGGCTTTCCTGGAGACCATTGTCTTGTTGCATCATCAATTAAGTGACAGAAAAATGTCTGATCCTCATAAGAGATCTCTCTGCTAATGTGTACCAACTCTAACTTCTTACTTTCAAATGACAAACAAAAACTTGTCTCACATTAGACCGAGGCAGGACAGGACCGAGTGAGACAAAAGAGCATTCTTGTCCACAAAAATAAGTAACAAAAGTAAGGGGATGAGACAAGATTGGTAAATTACTAAACTGCCTATATGGCTATGTCAAATTAAAACTCTAAATTGTTTCACAATTCTTTCCCCCGCATATCTCATTCTCGTCCTCTGGTCTAGTCCCAAGGGAATGGAACTCGCATTTGCTGGCTATGCATTTTATTTGGTCATTTCTAGTTACATAATCTCTAATGAAAGTGCATTGATATACAAATGACCTGCATTTCCTGCACATTTTAATTATTCTGCTAATTATATTGCTACTCGCTTTTGTTACATTCTGCAGGTGCCAGATGCTCAAGATAGCAATGCTGTTAGTCTGTGCAGCATAGAAATAATATGTAACTGACCAAATATCCACACTGTAATATCGGGCTTATTTCCTTTCAGGTTCTTGTTTGTTGTCTCTTGTTTTAAGCTTGTTTATGTCGTGTGTATTGATGCCTTATTCACAAACGCATAAACATACAAAATATGTGCTTTCATTGATTTGGTCTTAAATGGAAATATATAGGGAGATATAACTTCTGATTTGTAACTTGCATTGAGATGATTTTCCCTCAGTTGCTTATTTTTTCACGCAAACACACTTCATTCAAGATGCTACTATGCCCAATGCATTGTAGATTACTCCTAGATAGAGACCATAACACACCTTCTTCCTGATAAAAAAAGAGTATAAACCAGCAACTTCATATGTTCAATTGTCAACGTTGTATAAGGAAGGTTCTGCAGAAGAATAACACACAAGATCAAATTTAATCAAACCATTGCACCTGATGTTTCATCCTTTTTTTTTTCTGTTGGGACTTTACATGACCAATCCTGAAGAATTTAATTAACATCATCCCTTGTTATCCATCATTTGTTGGTCTTATAAACAATCTCATCGTCATCTACATCATATGCTGGATTACACAGGCACCTGAATAGCCTACCAATGCCCTGCCATACAACCAATTTTTTCAGTGTGGAGTGAACAAATTGTACTCTAAAGATTGTTTAATCAACGAACAAACCTGTGTGATAAAAGGGGCTCGATAGTTGAGTGTTCTTGGTGAATCCTCATCATCACTGCTATCTGAGCTGCTGCTTGTATCATCTGAAGCAATTTTCTTCTTTGATGTTCCGCTTTGTGAATTTTTCTCTCTCTAGATACACACACACACACACACAAAAGCCAATTAAACACTATGAGATCCGTTTCTAAATGACAGACACTTTAGTCCAGTTCAGACAACATCCCACCTGAAATATTTTGCCTAGAAGTTTTAGGGCCACCGCACGAGCTTTAAGTTCTTCCTTCCTGACATTATTTTCATGGAGCACCTGCGAAATAAATTCTTTAAACTACATTGTCAAGAAAATAACAGAAAAAGAATGAGTTATGACTCACCATTTGGCAAACATGTAATAGAGTAACTTCAATGTCAACTACATTCAACTTCCATAGCGAGTTCATAAGTGTATCCTTGCTGGATCTTAAATGTGATTCGGCATCATTTGTGCCATCCATTTTAAATTGTCGCCGTGCATCTTCTTGTAGTTGTAGCAATTGAAAAGCACCTGGAATCATTTAATTTCTCACCAAATATGTCGGTATGTAATTTGAGAAATATATATGTAGTTACTTGCTGACCATTCTCTTTCTAGTTAATTACCTTTTGCTGCAGTTATCTGTGACTTCCAGAAATGCCCTTTGTTTCTAACCCACTCAGCCATAAATGGTACCCCAAGGTAAATGACTTTCTTTCCCAGCTCTAGTGCACCCTGTCTTTCATATATGTATCCGATTGTGTGTAACATATTTGCTCCAAAAGCTGTCACAAGAATCAAAAGTAGAGACATGAACTAAGAATTTGTAGATAGGTAGCTTAAAGTGTTCAAGGAACCATTTTGTTTATAGCCATCATGGAAACGGTATCTCTACCCATTGGGGGTAGAGGCAAAGGCAAGGTTTGCATACATCATACTTTGGACCATTGGAGAATCCACACATGCATTTGAAGGAACCCCCCCTTATCCCATCACCAAAAATCCTGTATCCACCACCATTGACCCTGTCTCTGTGTGAGATATATTGGGTAGGTTTGGTTTGGTTTATATAAGTGCGATATATATATATATATATACTGATTAATGGAGGGTTGAGATACCTGCTTGTGCAAGTCGTTCTGCCTCAGACTCAGCACGACGTATAAACTCTTCTTTGTCGCCTTGAACATATTGGTGAATAAATTTTTTCAGTGATCCAGCCAGTTTTTCTTCCCTTTCCTTTTGGATAGTCTACATTTTATATAATACATATTCACTCAAACTTAGTTAAAAGAGAAAAGATTCGTTTAATGGTACTTCTCAGATCTTTCCTAAATTCATAACACATGAATACATAAATTTATAGTCCATATACTTGCCTTCAACTTGTCATGCAATATTTCGGGGATGTCATTTTCAAGTGCTAATTCTGCGGAAGCCATTGTTGCCACCGCTAGATGTCCTACGTAGTCTTCGAATAGTTCACTTCCAAAAAGAACGGCAAAAACAGCAGTGGAATCAAGCATGGCGTCCCTGTGAAACGATGTTGGAGGTAAGAACATTATGCAAATTCATCTTTTATAAATATATAGGGGAGGATAAAATCCAAAAAGTACAGCGATTGTTTCCACGACTATGCTGATTAATATACACGTGAATTAAAGCTGAAATGCTTACTTAGATATGGAGCACTTGCCATTTCGATCATATGCATCTCTTTTTACAGGATCACTCAAAACCTGATAAGCTTCACCCAGTACCTGCTTATAACAAAATCATATTCAATGAATTTCCGTGTTTATAGAAGAACTCAAGTATCAAAAACTCGCCTGAAATCTCTCTGCAGCTTGAGGATCGTTTGGATTTTTATCGGGATGAACTTGTCGTGCCTGTTCCATAAACAACCAAAAACAGTTGACACAATCCAAGAGCCTAAATGAAATTTGAGCGGAGTGACTTTAAACGAACGTTATGGATTGGATGCAGGACCGGCCATGACATTTTGAAGGTAATGTGCAACAAAATAAATGTAGCCCTTATTTTTTCAGATTATATACTAAATATTATCAACATGACAACAATCGTAAATAACTTAAATCTTAGAATTTTGTAACACAAATATCTTAATTATGTAGAAAATAAAGTATCTGTTTGGTTCGTGGGATTTGGACACTACAAACCAAACACGTCGAAATTTCAAATCTTTCTAATTAAGAATTCTTACATGAAATCCAAATCTCCGAAGATAATTCAGCAGGAGAATTACAAGTACAAAAAGTGCAAACTATATAAACACAGTAAAAACATCTGATCTTATCGGAAAACACCACTAAGTCGGGCATTAACTAACACGAAGACAAACAGAACATTCAACATATGATTTGATCGTATTACAATTCTTCGTCAATTTCAAGAACCAACGATCTTCAACCAATTATATATACCATCGTAATTCAAAACACACCAAAAAAAACACTAGAAAAAAGTGAGATTTAGGGATTTTGAGAGTAAGAAAACACCTTGAGATAATAAGCTTTTCGAATATGGTCTTCAGATACAAGTGGGGTAACACCAAGAACATCATAATACTCAGTTTCTTTCACCATCACAATAAGCTGCTTCTGATCAACCCCCAATTCCAAGGAAGAAGAAGAAGAAGAATGGTGAGAATGTCTGAAAAGAGAGATGGAATAACCTTTCCAGTTGTGAACAATCAATAAAGAAAGCTGAAAAAGGGAGAAAAGCTGCATTCTATGAAACCCTTATTTAACACTATTTTATGGCTTCATTTGTGGTGCTAATCATTTCCCTACTGCTTCATACTTCTTTTTCAAATGCCCACCATTGCCATGGTGGGTCAGCCAGAGGCAACCAACATATTAAGCTGAGCTTTAGCATATATTCTAAACATATGGCACTGATTTCAGTTCTACAATGGTGTGATCATGTTAATTTTCATCAAACAGAAGTGATTGTGCTTGCCTCTTTGTTTACTTGCCATTAAATTGTTAATGGGTAGCTTAATCTTGCTTCTTTATGACACAAATTCTCAACTTATGCCACTTAAATGTCATCATGCTAATTAGCATCAAACACAAGTCATTGTGCTTGCCAATGTTCTTGAGTTGTCATTGTATTGTTAATGGGTGTCTAATCTTGCTTCTTTATGACACAAATTCTCAACATATGGCACTTAAATTAGAAATTTATTCCAGCTTTTTGCATTGGTGATCATGCTAATTAGTATCAAACAGAGGTTATCATGCTTGCCAATTTTCTTAACTTGTCATTATATTGTTAATGGGTAGCTTAATCTTGCTTCTTTATGATCGGTAGGGGGTTCGATTGACCAAATGGACCTTGTAGACCCATACGGAGTTGGGTTATTGTACAATGTGGTTTCAGGTATTGTGAAGTAAATAAGATCTGGGAAGATAGTTTATTGGTGTTTAAAATCAATTCGAGAAACATATCGACATCTGGCTAGGTCGAGTTTTGTTTGTTTCTTCTAGGTAGAACTCTTTGCACAAGGTAACTTATTGGTAGAGTGTAGGGATGCAAATGATGCAAGTCGAGCTCGAGTATTAGTATAATCGACTCGAACTCGAAACCCAATTTCCAAGCTCGAACTCGACTCGAAAACTCGCGAGTAGTAAAAATCAAAGCTCGACTCGATCTCGATAACTATTTCTCAAGCTCGAACTTGAACTTGAACTTGAATCAAGCTCGAATCAAACTCAAACTCAAACTCAATCTCGAACTGCAACTCAAATCAAGCTCGAATCAAACTCAAACTCAAACTCAAGCTCGAATCAAGCTCAAACTGCAACTCAATCAAGCTTGAACTCGAATCAAGCTTTAACCAAGCTTACCCAATGAAATTTATGAAATTTTAAGGTCTTTCTTTTATAAATTTTAAAACTTAAAGATGTTCTCTTAGCTTCTATAAAACTAAAAGATCAACTTCAAACTCCATCGTAAAAATGACAAAGTTAGAAATTTCATTCGCCACCTTCTCTTTTTATAACATCTTTTCTCCCTACACTTACCATCTCCCTTCCAATGTGGGACAATTTCATTAACCATTTTTATAGTTTTTCTTTGTTTTTTTTATTGTGATTTAAATAAAAAAAATAATTGATTAATTTTTATAATTAAAAAATGTATGATTTTGTTTAAATATCTAAAAAATATAAGACATTTTTATTATTTATATTTTACAAGTTTTATTATAAAAACTGATTATATTTTAAAACTAATGATATATAAAATAATCGAGTATCTCACGAGCTTTTCGAGTCGAGTATTGGGTAGCTTGACTCGACTCGTTAATATGTCGAGTCGAGCTCGAGTTCTAGCCGAGCCTATTTGAGTCGAGTGTTGACCGAGCTTTGATCGAGTCGATCTCGAGTTGCTCACGAGTTTACATCCCTAATAGAGTGTAACTAGAACAACAAATCTTTGATCTTAACGATGAAAACAGTGCAATTGGACTACGTTAGTTATTGTGTTATGTATATGTCCATGTTCGTCTTTCTTTCTACCATTTTATATTATAGATAATGGAGCCGGTTCATTTGAGAACCATAAAAAGTTTGAGAGCCGTGAGAACCTGTATATTCATTGATACATATTCATAATGAATTTCATTGATTATATGTATCAATACATATATACTTGCATACATAGTAGATATCTATTGATGAATATACTCATTGATGGAATACATATCTACTATGTATACAAGTATATATGCATTGATGCATATACACTAATAAATTTCAGCGAGTATATGCATCAATGCATATATACTTGCATACATAGTAGATATGTATTGATGAATATACTCATTGACGGTATATATATATCTACTATGTATGCAAGTATCTATATCATTGATTAGTAATGCATAAATGTATATATACTTGCATACATAGTAGATATGTATCGATGAATATACTCATTGACGGAATATATATTTGATATATGCAATATACTCATTGACGGACTGTATATTTGATATATGCATCAATGAATACACAGGTTCTCAAATTTGTTATGATTCTCACGTGAACCTAATGTGGAAGTGAGTAGAAACTTACTTATCTTGAGATAAACTATTATCTCTTCAAAAATTTAAGACGATATCAAACCATCTTTACGTTCTATTCCTTATGAACTTCCCTCACCAATGGTTTCTATTTCTAAAAAACAAACATGCTTCTAAGAGCACGCATCCACTGTAGAGGTTTTTACAAGAACCTAATTTTTCTACACATCAGTGTCAACTCAACAAGAATCGAGACATTTGTTCAAGCACCTGGATTCTTATAACAACTTGTAATTGAGCCAGAACTTGTGGCCACCTGTCCAACTGATCTCTACATTTTTTAGATGACTTTTGGTCTATTTGTCTTTAATGATTTCTTGCTAAAATCATCTTCATGCAGCCTTTTTTCTCTCTTAATTGTTTGGTTTCAAGACATCATCTACTCACCATTAATCATATCAATATTACCTATAACTTTGTTAGACATACATGTTGTTCATTAGCATGTTAAATGTGAGATTTTGTCGTTCCTTAACATGTTAAATGTGAGATTTTGGACAAGCCTCCAAAATTACATGTGTTTGGGCTTTCATCAACCTATGTAAAGCCTTGTTTTAGGTTCAAATGGTTAATTGTTTAGGTTTAGGTTAAGATAAGACTGTTATTTAGTCCTTTTATGTGCTTAACAATAGATTAGAACGTCCTTATAGAATAAATTATCTTTATTGGGTTAACCAAACCGTTCAATTTGAAAACCGAGTAGCCTGAAACCATCTTGGTTCAGATGAGGTATCAGTTTTGGAATTTTTTGACACGTCTGTCCTCTAAGTGTGCCTTCGAAGATAAAAGTTTATGGATCCACCACTAGCCTGTAAGTCCATATATCTTAGATGGGTGTGCATGTGCAACATCCGTATTACAAACACCCCCTCAAGGTCCCATCATATTCGATGAGGTTTATTCCATCCTGATGGGACAAGGATCGACTCCATTTATATCACCCCATAGCCTAGAATAGCATATTGACCCAATAACCTGCAAAACTTAAAAACCATGGTGTAAATTATTGGTAGCCAATTACTTGAAACTTTTAAAGAGATCACAAATCTCAGTTTCTATTCATATAAGATAGGTTATCACAAAAATAATAATGCCCGAAATCTCAAAGGAATAGACTAACCCAATAATTTTTACTTCAACTTAAACCAAGATGCAAGTTTAACTTGAACTTTATAAAACTATTAACTAATGATGTTTAATTAGATCACCTACAATGGAGGTTTTTATTGAGGTTTCTATTGGGGTGTTTATAAGAACCTTCATTGTGGGTCAAAGGTTATTGTTCGGTCACAAGTGCTTAAGACTGCGTTTGGTACATGGGACAGCACAGGACTAGACAAAACTCACTGTCCTAGGTTTGACGCGACATGGGGCAGGACAATAACTCATTGTTCCACATTTGGCGTGACATGAAATAGGGACAAGAATTGGGACAACGTGGGACGAAAAAGACTTTTCTTGTTCCACCAAAATAGGTGGAACAAGATGAGACAAAAATGAGAGATAAACTAAAATATTACTAATTAAACCTCGTTTGATATATAACCTTAATATGGTATTTGTTTTATTAGTCACCACCGCTAGTTGCAGCTGTTGTGCCACCAATGGTAGCCATCGTCAGCCACTTCCTCTTCTACTATAACAACCTCCTCCACCACTTCCACAACCACCGTCAGCCACTGGCCACCACCACCATCCACTACCACTAGCACTACTCAACACCACCACTACCTCCACCACATTGGTTACAAATACCTCCTCCACCACTGTCGACCGTCACCCACCACTACCATCTACCATCTTCACGTCCTCCACAACCATCATCGACCGTCACCATCTACCATTTTCATCGCCTATTGCCACCATCACTAGTATCATCGACCACCACTACCACCACCTCCACTATAACCACCAACACTACGACCACCACCACCATACCTCTACCATGTCGTCTACAACTACCTCCGCCACTATCAACCCCCACCCAACAACCACTATCCACCATCTTCACACCATCCATAGCCACCATCGTCCACCAATCACCAATGCCACAATCGTCCACCGACCACCAATGCTACCATCGTCCATCAATCACCAATGCCACCATCTCCACCAATCACCAATGCCACCATCATCCACCAATCACCAATGCCACCATCATCCACCAATCACCAATGCCACCATCATCCACTAATCACTAATGCCTCTACCTTCATAACCATTGTTGTTGCAACAATCTTCACTGTTCCTTCACCAATTGATAAATATCTTCCAAACCAAATAAAACATAATTTCTCCTTTGTATGAATCATGTTCTTTCAAACTACCATCAATTATATCAAAATTTTCATTCAAATTTGGTACTATATATATGTATGTATTTATGTATATGAAAATTGTGTAAAAATGTTTATAAATTAAATTATTTAATTATTTACTTTTATTTGTAACTATTATATGATATATAAAATTATCAAATAACTTTAGGGGTAACTTGTCTAATTCTGTTCTATCCAACCCTTGCTGTACCAAACACCAAATAGACAATTGTTCTATCCAATCATATCTTGTCCAGTTCTACTCTCTTGTCA